TGGGTGGGAGGATAACCTCATTGTCAATCAAATCTTGCACCTCATGACGGAGGCGGAAGCAATTGTCGGTAGCATGGCCTGTCTGCTGGTGGTACGCACAGTACTGAGCAGCATCATGCGTGGCAGGGAGATTCTTCGGGAGAGGCCGAGGCTCCAAGGGTTTAAGGTGCCCCCTCTCGGCAAGGATCTGAAGTGCCTTAGACAGAGGCATGTAGAGAGCATGAAAGGTCCTGCGCCCCCGGGGCAGGTAAAACATATTCTTCAAATGTAGGTTTGGTTTGATTTGGATTGGTAGAATGGCGAAATTGCATAGATTATTAATGATAGTGATAATGATAAAGATGATGATGAAGATAAGGGTGTGGGTTATATTTTTTTTTTAATTTTTAGAGTGATTGAGTTTCTTTTGAATTTATAATTTTATTGCTGTCATTGTTTCTTTTTCTTTTTCTTTTTTGTCAATCAGTGTGAATGTTCACATTTCACATTGTTTGAAAGTCTATTGGTTATTTGTTACTATACTTATTGTTTGAACAACCATTTTTTGTTACCATTAAACAATAGAAATAGTCTTTTTTTTTTCCTTTCAATTTTGTTTCATGTTTCAATGTGAATGTTCACATTGGTATGAATTATTTTTTTTAAGGTTAATTGTATGTTAATTGCAAATTGTGAGCATTCACATTGATGATACAGTTACTACACAACGGGTCCCACCCCTATGTTGGGGTAGGGTTTCCCTGTCCTATTTTGTCAGGAACTAGGGTTTCATTATGCACATAGCAGTTTCAAACAACAACCTATCGGGTAAGCAACCTGTCCTAGTTTGGAATGGTCACTATGGATCCGAATATGTACTAGGTCGAATGGTCGAAGAGGGTGCCCCGGTAAAACCGGGGTTTGTGTTCCCATGCTGTCAGAGCCCATAGCCGGTCAGCCTTATGGTCATGCCTTGACAAGACAAGCCTCTGGCAAACCGTTCAGGAATGGCAGATGGCAAACACTGTGTTCCTAGGCGCACCAATGCACATGCAATGCAAAGAGACACATAAATGAGATCAAAATAGGATATCATGAGTTCGAGTCAAGCTCTCTTAAATAATCCCCAGCAGAGTCGCCAGAAACTGTAGATGCGCCCCACGGAGGGGGCCCTCGCTACTATAGTTCGGACTCGATTTTGTTGTCACGGTTCTTAATCTTGAACCAAAGAGTCCAAATCCGGCAAATCATTTTGACAAATAGATTTTTTGAAAAGAAGTGCCAAACATGGACTGCTTTGCCAGATACAGAGTCGCCACCTAAACATTTTTTTAATGGGAAAATTTAGGAAACCCTGACTCGGTGCCGAAGGCCACATGTCCGTCATTACCGGAGTTGTCTCGGCTCGAGAGCTTGGGTACGATCGGGGAAGGTCAGCTATGAGCACCCCCTTTCGCCCGGTCCGAAGACCGGCCTCTACTAACCATGATATCCGATTTTGAAAACGTTATGTGTTCTTATTCCATTTATTAGCCTAGAATTACTATGTTATGCGCGCAACAAACAAGTATAGACTAGATTGCCTAATTTGGAAACAAGCATTGCATATCCGTTTGTTTTGAAAAGCGCTTCGGAATTTGCTACTCGCAAGTAGGCTAAAACACGGATTTCAATGAGTTTTTCCAACTCAAACAATCCAACCTTCACCCACGGGCATTCAAACAGTAATATCACGTAAGCATTTAGCCGCCTGGCAAACACATTGTCATGGCAACATTCACACGCATGCGAGATGCTAAAGCATAAATACTTACATAGTACTCTGAGCTAAAAACAGGAACATGTTAGCAATCAATGCATGATCCAAGTCCATGTTAAATGCCTAATGCATCGCATACAAAATGCCACTTAGAATAGGCTCGGCTAATCTATGAATAACATATGAAAATGCACAACTAACATGTATTCAGTTTGGAATTTGAAATACAGATGCAGTTAGCGTGATGTACGGAGCCTGATGCATGCAATACAAATGCATGAATGCACGCATGCATAGCATAAGGTATGCTAATTTTAAAGATGCCCTAATACTAACCATCAAAGCGGGTAAGTAAAAGGGAAGAAAGAAGTGGGGATTGGAAGACATTCACACACTCACCCACACTTATTACAAATTTGCCCTCACTCAGAGGGACCAAATAAATATTACAAATTAATTAACTACGCAAGCTAATTAAATATTACAAATTGCCTAATCAACTAAGCAAATTAATTAATCTAGGAAAAGCAGTAAACCGCCTCGGGAGGAGAGCTCGATGCAATGCATGCTCCGTCCTGCTCGGAAACGCACCGCCATGCATAGGCTGCCTCTGTTTTCCTTCCTTCATTCCTCTGGAGGTTGTCAAAACCTCAGGACTGCTTCCTTGGACATCGGGGAACACCATCGGCTGAATGAAATTGCCACCGGCAATGAGATATGGCCACCGGCCATTGGTGAAGCTATCGGCAGAGAAAGGATTGCCGGTCGGCACTTGACACTGCTGGTCGGCAAAGTGTTCCTGCAGAATCTGCAATTGACAGCAACAGAGGGCAAGGCAAAGCATGGCAGCACAATTCAAGGCATATATGCACCAATCATGTCTCTTATCATGGTAATGACTCAAAGGGACATATTTCTCGGTTCTTGGACCACCAATCACGCATTTCCATGCATGATGGCCCAAGTGACCAAGTGTGCAACTTTCATGTCAAATGAAATGCAAACCAAACATACAAATCAAGGCCCAATTCCTATCACCAAGTCAAGAAACAAGGCATGCATGCAAGATGCAATGCAACCTAAGCATGCAAGCTAAGGATGCAACATGGCATGGCAAGGCACTTATGCAAGCATACAAGCGAACATGAGGAAATGCAAATGGATGAAAAGATGGGCTTAGACATGATTTAGGCAGCTCTAATTAGGCCTAAAACAAGGGCCAAAGTGCTATAATATGAGGGACCAAATACATACACACATGCACATAATTGAGAGCCAACACTTAAGCACAAATTGAACAACCCTCAAACACATTTGAAAGGGGCATAATGTGGACTAATGCATTCAAAGTAAGCATTGTAAAATGCATGCTAGGATGAGTAAACCAAGCAGACAAGATAGGCTAAAATTAAGATGAAATGGTCCAAGTACTTGAAGTAAGCTTCAAAGGGGCTTGAACCATGACCAAGCCAACCAAGCCTCACAAGGCTAAGGGGGCTTAGAATAGGTTCACGCAGACCTAGGACCATGCAAAGGGGACTCCTAGAAGGCATCTAAGTGATCTCAAAATCAAAATCATGCATGGCCAAAAGACATAGGAGCTACTAACACAAGCTTTTCCAAAGCATTAAAGATCGGTCACAAAGGCAAACATATAGGCATGGCAAAATAGGACTGAAATTACCATCGGCTGGATACAGTTCCAACGCACTAAATCAAATGCAAGAAGGCATGCTACACACTCACGACACTTAAGGCCAACAAGCCAAAATGCAAGGGGCTATATATGCATGCCAAATTCGACCCAAACAACTATGGACAGACCTAAAACATGGCAAAATATGCACAAAATCTTCACAAGACTAAGCCTAAAACATGCTCTAACAAGGGCTAACAACCTAAGGCACATTGAGGCAATAACATGGCATTACATGGTAGGTATGCTAAGCATGCATGGTGTACCAAAACCAACAAAAAACAGAGGTATAATATGACATATTAAGCACAAAAAACAACTAAGGCATGGTCAACATGAAGCCTAGTTAGGTGCTCTCTCAAGAGGCCAAAATGGTCCATTTCAAGGACAACAAGGAGAGGGGATGGCCCTCTCCTTTTGGAGACTTCAAGGCATCATCCCCACCACTGAAATCCCTCAAGATTTCAGTGGTGAAGAGGCCCAAACACCAAAGTCTCGAAACTAGCACAAAATAGCACAAAATGAGGCCTTTCAAGGCCTAAGAGGGGTCAAACACCCTCAAACCACAAAACACCCTTAATAAACAATCAAGAGGGCTGAAAAACAGAACTTTTTTGTATTATACACCAAGCTCAAAAACGAATTTAAGACAGGTAAAAATACAATGCAAGATTGGGGTAAAAAGGGGTAAAATTCTCACCCTTGAAGACGTCTTCAACAATGATGCTTCAATGGCCCTCCTTGGCTTGAATCTAACACCAAACACCAAAATCAGCCCCTTAGAACCTCAGGAGCCAAAAGAAGGTGAAACACTATTTGTTTGTGTGCAATAGTAAGACACAAACACACTTTAACACACACAAGAGGGAAAAAGAGAGAGATAATGTGTATCAAACCCTAACCCTAGAACTCAAACCCTAAAAATGGCTGTCTAAGCTCTCTAAAATATCTCAAGTGTCTAACCCTTGCAACAAGAGAGAGCCCCTCTCTTTATAGAACTTCTTGTCTTGTAAAGCTTACAAGACAAGCTTCATAAGAGGGAGATCCCTCCATACACGTGTATGAAGGGGAGCAAAAGGCAAGACAGCTGTTTTAAAATATCTGCAAAAGCAGATGCACAGTCGTCGGCCGGCCAAAGATGCCATTTTGGCAAAAAAGAGTGCCGACCGGCACTAAATAGTGCTGACCGGCAACAAATATTGCCGGCCGGCAATATACATTGCCGGTGGAAGCAAAAACTAGCCGGTGGCCTCTAGCCACTGCCGGTGGTGTATGGGGATGCCTCACAAGGCATTCCCTCCCCCTCCAAGGCAAAACACAAGTGTTTGGTGCAAAACCAGACACTAAACAGTCGAGTTCGGAGATCCTGAGGCAAGGCGCGCGAGCCGAGACCTCCGGGAACTCCAAACGAACACAAACATGGATAATCACCGAGTGTTCAAACGGTGACGTCCAAGTCTTGAGGACGGTCAAAAATGGGGTGTCTACAGCGAGGCACTTGCCAAGTAAGCTAAAACACTACCAAAGTTCTATGAGGACTTAATTGAAACAATGTGAGGCACTTACCAAGCAAGCTAATGTACTACCAACTTGCACAGAAAAATCAAATTTTCTTAATCTAGCACCAAAGAGATGCTTGTGATCTAAACCAAAAATTCAATCTAGGTCCATCAGAAGTTCTATAAGGAACTACTTGAAACAACACGATGCACTTATTGAGTAAGTCAGTTTCAATGCATGAGCAGCAACAATGTAAATTGCAGATTGGCTGAATAATTCATTAGATGAAACTTCTTCTACATCAATTGATCCCCCAGTTCTTGAAGTGTCCTCTGCTAATCCATACTACAAACACGGGACAATAGCACAGATTATTCAATTTGTTTGTAGAATGGATGGGACAAAAAAATTATAACTTATTTATGTACATCTATCAAAGCCTACCCGATGTTACTAAATCGCTATCCTACCTTATTGATTGCGGTTTTCACAATTGCTTGCTTTTCTCATACAGGAACAATTGCACTGAGTTCCTGAGATGCCCATTTATAACATGAAACTAAATAAAAGCTCCAGCATAACCACATAAATTGCAAAACAAAACCTTTGTGTAACTGCTTTCAAAACAGAGAATACTACTTGAATGAAAAACAAAGTTGATTCCAGGCAACTTTGTTTAACTAAAAGTACCTGCAGAGCCAGTCCCCAGTTGTTGAGTCCCTGGAAAAAAATTATTTATCATGAAGTTACCACCAATATTTTAAACATAAACATATTCACAAATTCTCAAGCAAATCATCCAAGAGTTAATGATAGAAAAATGGCAGTAGAAGATAACACTGGAATAGAAGAAAAGGACAAAACTGTGATGAGTAAGATTTTAGGGTTCCAATTTTAAATGGAATAAAATATTTAATTTCACAGTTCTAAAAATACTTGCCTGGGGACTGTTCCAATTAAGTTGGACAGCTTTTTCATAGTTTTTTGTTGCCTACAAATTGGAAGAATAATATTACACTTTACCCACTCCTGTGCCATTCTTTTTCAATGATGAATAGCTGTTAGTTTTAATTCCAAAGAGGATTGCATCCATTGCAGACTAGAACAGCATAAGACAAACAATTTTGCAGAAGGTGCCATTAGATCTTTTCAACGTCACAAGGGCACCTAGTGAACTTTATAATAATACTTAATATTATGAAGCAATAAATTGTCTCATAAACACAACATTTAGTAGTTTCAAATGCTAAATTTTATATCAAGCAGCATATTATATGTTGATATGACAAAAGCAGAGCAAAACTAGTTAAATACATGGAAGTCAAATAAATGAATTTGATCTTTTTTATGTTATCCACATATGCCACGTTTTGTATGCTACTAATTTATCATTATTATGCAGATTGCAGAAAGTAGAACTCAACCAATATTAATATTTTTGAAATTTAAAACCTAGAAAATTAAAAATGATGAAGTCTCATCGTTTAGTTTATTGTATTTCTTCTTCTACAAATCTTAAAGTGTCATTTTTCTTCAATTATAATCTCCTTAAGCATTTCCAGTAATCTATTGTGATAGGAAGTTTTATGCTACAGGCCATCTCTAAACCCATCAAAAACAAGAAAAGATAATAAAAAAACCAAATCTTGAAAGTGCAAGCAAATCATTTGGTTAGAAAATTAGGTTTGGGGATGAAAAACCCTAAGATGTGAATCACTTACCTGTGATAGAAGAGGGGCCAATCTACCTGATTGTGCCACAGCAACCTAAAAAAAGTTGATCAAAATCACACCAAACCCATACAACAGCTAAATTAGAAAAGGGAAAAAACAGAGGAGAATGAGAGGGCACCAACCTAGCTAGAGAAAAGGAGAAGAACAGGAGACGGAACAAAAAAGGCAGCGCCACTGCTAGTGCAGTCAGCGCTGTGCGAGAGGGAGAGCGAGATGGAAGGAGAGAAAAGAAGAGAGGGCAGCGACCTAGCTAGAGGAGGAGAGGGAGACAAAGGGGAAGCGCCAATGCTATTGCAATCGGTGTTGCGAGATAGTGAGAGCGAGGGAAAAAGAGAGAAGAAGAAGAAGAGATGAGAGGACATACCTGTGCCGTTCGAGGCCACGAGAGTGATGGAATGAGAATGGAGGTTCAAGTCTGAGCAAAAAAAACATTAGGGCACATACAACATTCAAACGGCATAGTTTTGACAAATAGTTTAAAGGCAACCAGGAAATTTGGTCGCCATAAATGTTGCCCAACTTTTCAACGACCAAAGAATGATTGTCGCCAAAAATATATATTTAGTGACTAATATTTTTGTTTCCATATCTTAATTTCGTTGCAAAATTTTTTTCCTCATTCCCGCCAAAAAATTTGGTCTGGCGCCAAACTCAACGGTGACCAAATGATTTAACTTGTCACCAATAGTTTAGTTTTTGGTGACCATAACATATATGGTTGCCAATTATGTACATTTGGCGACTATTTCTATTTTAGTTGCCAAAAAACATCGTCAAAAATGTTTTTGGTTGTAGTGATGAGAGATAAATAATGACTTATTTTGTGTGGGTTATAATTTCTGATTTGTTAGGAGCACCAATACCATTTAGGTAACGTCACATAAAAATTTCATACTTTGTTTGGTTTATTGGAATGACATGAAATTGAATAGAATAATCACATTCTTTTAATTTTTATGAAATAATCATTATTTTACAATAATGAATAATTATTCTATTTATAATGTATTTTCTATTATTTTTGGTAATGCAACGGTAAAAATAAACATTTTAATAAAATAATAAGTTTATTGCACTTTATTTTAGGCCTGTGAAGCTTACTATTCATGTGAATCCAAAAATAATACCCAAACTTAGTAATAGCTACAATTGTTTTGTTGGGACTGTTAATGTATATGTGGTATTTCTACATATATTAGGTATTGATTTCCTAGATATATTTGGAAATAGCCATAGTTAGGTTTTTAGTAAGATACTATATCTCAGCCTATATATACAGGCCTTCTATTGTATAGAATTAATTCATTGATTCAATAACATAGTTATATACTTTTCTCTCTCTCTCTCTCTCTCTCTCTACTATTCTAACATGGTATTAGAGCTAGATTAAGTACCTAGTAATTTTGCTTCATCGACGGGCAGCAATCTTACCTCGGTCGCCCGCTAGATCTCAATCCATTTTATTGCCATATATATATATATATATATTTTCAGTATCACTTCGTGGTGATCTCTTCCTTTCTCTGCTGGTTTATTCCTACCCCAACTATCTCTATCATAAATATATAGATATATATTGCTCGCAATCTTTTTTTTTTTTGTGTGTATTTCTGCTATACTTTGTTTTTTCCTCTCTTTCAACCTCAAATAGGTTTTTATCTTCAAACCTATTTGCATTTGAGGGGGCGATTATACCTATATCATGGTGAATATGGTGATATATCATGTGAACCACCTAAGCTGCCTTCTCTGGCGCACAACCCAAGTCGCCCTCTTTGGCACACTTCCTAAGCCGCCTCCTTTTGGCGCACTCTCTAAGCCGTCTTGTTGGCGTACCACCAAAGCCGCCCCTGGCACACTCAGTCTTCTGTTACCATCATCGTTCAACACCACGTCATAAGTTATGTATGTGTCACGCTTGCTGGTTCAACATCCAGTTCTCTACATCAATCCGATATGACCTTTTTAAACTGTCCCGACATTGATTCCGATTAGTTCTTACATCGTTCCGGTATGACCCTTTTAAACTATCCCGACATTGATTCTGGTTAGCTTCTTCAATGGTCTGACATGACCATAAACTGTCTCCCGGCATTAGTTCTGGCCTCTAATATATCTCAAGCGCCTTTGCGCTCCCATTCAAATCTATTTGCCTTTTATTTTACTTAGTTTTATTTCATGTTTTAGTTTCTCTCTCCAAACTCAAGATGTTTATCCTCCATGAGTTTGAGCTTGAGTTTGAGGGGGATGTTAATGTATATGTGGTATTCCTAGATATATTAGGTATTGATTTCCTAGATATATTTGGGAATAGCCATAGTTAGATTTCTAGTAGGATACTATTTCTCAACCTATATATACAGGCCTTCTATTGTGTAGGATTAATTCATTGATTCAATAACATAGTTATATACTTTTCTCTCTCTCTCTCTCTCTCTCTCTCTCTCTACTATTCTAACATGGTATCAGAGCTAGATTAAGTGCCTAGTAATTTTGCTTCATCGACGGGCGGCAGCCTTACCTCGGTCGCCCGCTAGATCTCAATCCATTTTATTGCCATATATATATATATATATATTTTTTTTTTTTCACTTCGTGGTGATCTCTCCCTTTCTTTGCTGGTTTATTCCTACCCCAAATATCTCTATCATATATGTATAGATATATATTGCTCGCAATCTTTTTTTTTTTTTTTTTGGGTGTATTTTTGCTCTACTTTGTTTTTTCCTCTCTTTCAACCTCAAATAGGTTTTTATCTTCAAACCTATTTGCGTTTAAGGGGGCGATTATACCTATATCATGGTGAATATTGTGATATATCATGTGAACCACCTAAGCCGCCTTCTCTGGCGCACAACCCAAGTCGCCCTCTTTGGCACACTTCCTAAGCCGCCTCCTTTTGGCGCATTCTCTAAGCTGTCTTGTTGGCGTACCACCAAAGCCGCCCCTGGCACACTCAGTCTTCTGTTACCATCATCGTTCAACACCACGTCATAAGTTATGTATGTGTCACGCTTGCAGGTTCAACATCCAGTTCTCTACATCAATCCGATATGACCTTTTTAAACTATCCCGACATTGATTCTGATTAGCTCTTACATCGTTCCGGTATGACCCTTTTAAACTATCCCGACATTGATTCTGGTTAGCTTCTTCAACGGTCTGACATGACCATAAACTGTCTCCCGGCATTAGTTCTGGCCTCTAATATATCTCAAGCGCCTTTGTGCTCCCATTCAAATCTATTTGCCTTTTATTTTATTTCATGTTTTAGTTTCACTCTCCAAACTCAAGATGTTTATCCTCCATGAGTTTGAGCTTGAGTTTGAGGGGGGATGTTAATGTATATGTGGTATTCCTAGATATACTAGGTATTGATTTCCTAGATATATTTGGGAATAGCCATAGTTAGATTTCTAGTAGGATACTATTTCTCAGCCTATATATACAGGCCTTCTATTGTGCAGGATTAATTCATTGATTCAACAATACAGTTATATACTTCTCTCTCTCTCTCTCTCTACTATTCTAACAGGAACATTCATGAATACTCAAAAAATTCATCATCATCGAATAGAAATAGGGGTCCTGCTGTGTGGCAAGGCACATCAGTGCCGCTATGCAGCTTTGCGAGGTTGTGTTCCAAATATATTTTGATAATTTAAATCATTAATATTATAAAGTTCGTTGACTATATTATTCATATGAAAATTTAAGTTAATCGGATATCCGTAACTCTATCATCAAGTCTTAATTGTTTTTTAAAATATTATTAAAATTATGCTAACTGTTTATTTTTCTAAAAACAAATGTGGTATTGTGAGAGGGTTATCGAAGTGATCAGGAGGTAGCCTTTATCAAGACATGACTGGAATCGGAAGAACCAATGCTGGACTAGAAGTATCAACCAGACGGAAGTTTGAGATTTGAAGACAGACTGTTATTGCCTAATGACGAGTCCCTTAGACAGAATGTTCTTGAGGAATTCTATCACTCAATCTTCGTAGTCCATCCTGGAGGAACAAAAATGTATCATAATTTGAAAAGACAAAACTGGTGGAATGGGATGAAGAAGGATGTGGCTCGCTTCGTACCTAGGTGTCTCACATGTCAACAACTAATAACAAAAAATCAAATAAAGAAATATATATAAAGAGTAAAAAATAAAAATTTCATAGTTGACTCTTTGCATGATTCTGAAAATGCCTCCATTTAAAATAGTCCCACCAGCAAAAGTGAAAGAACAAAACAAGAAAGCAAAAAACAAGCCTTTCACTGTAGCAAATTCAAAGAGACTCTAATAGTAGTATAAAAAAAGTGACATATCATATACTTAGTTATGATTTTTGTGGTATCTAGTTATAATTAATTGTAGCATTTGTTGTAACTTGATTATGACTTATTATGGTATTAGTTATGATTTATTTAGTTTGGTTATAATCAAAGAGGTCGTTATTTATGTCTCAAATAGTGTTTAATTATGACTCATTTAAGTCATGGTTATGACTCATCATAGTGTTAGTTATTATCCATTATCGTTATTATTTAAGTTGTGAATGATATTTGGTTATGCCTCTAGTAGTGATTAGACCTATTGTGTTAGTTTTAATTATGACTATTTAAAGTGATTTGATTATGATATTTGTGTTATCAGTATCATAAATTATCATAACTTAAAACAAGCAGAATTTAAGAAAAAATGAGTGATATAATAGAAAATTATAAACATGCAGCAGAAAAACATTTGAAAAAGTAAGATGGTAGGCAGTTAATTATCTAAAAGGGAAGAAGCAAATAAAAAATGCATAAGTATCCGGTAACGTTACTTACGTGGTGATCCAAATCAAAACATAGTGAGAATATTTCCGAGTGAAATAAAATGACTTACTTTTGTTAAGTAGATGCGAGATAAATAATGACTCATTTTTGTGTGAGTTATAATTTTTGATTTGTTAGGAGCACGAATACCATTTCGGTAACGTCACATAATACTTTGATACTTTGTTCGATTCGTTGGAATGACGTGAAATTGAATAGAATAATCATTATCATTATTTTACAATAATGAATAATTATTCTATTTATAATGTATTTTTTATTCGTTTTTGTAAAGCAACTGTAAAAATAAACATTTTACTAATATAATAATTTTCTCACACTTTATTTTAGGCTTGGGTCCTGTTTCGATAGTTTAATTTGTTTGTTTTATTGTATTTTTCGTGCATAGTATCCAAAAAAATTAGCGATAAAATAAGGTCATTCATTTTTTTTTTTGAGAGAAATATTAGAGATACACAGTTTAAATCACACAATTCACTTACAATGATACGATAAAGGGGTTAAAGGTTACATAATTGAGTTTGTGACAAATTAAAAGTCGTAATATAAGCTATCATATCATTGTGAGTAAAATTGAAAAATTTAAATTATAAGTTTTCAATATTTTTCATTTCATAATTTACATTAAGAAATTTAGCTATTTATATTATTTTATATAAAAATACGTTTATTTTTTTTTACATAGCGCATGTTTATTGCTGGTAAATTTAATTGAAAAAGGACATGGCAATTATAATAAGGTTGGACCACTATATATATTTATGCATTTGAATGGTCGAGGTAGTTTTTTTTTTTTTTTTTTTTTGGGGGGGGGGGGTGGGGTTTGAATTGGTCGACTGAGGTTGCTGAAAAAAACCATCAAATTTTTTGTTTGGATTTGGCTTCTCTCCAATTCGGCAACGAATTTGACCGTATTGTTTGGTCTATTTTGGGCTCTATTTTGTCCCATTTTGATAATTTAAACCGTTCAATGTGTAGTGCTTGTTGAATAATTCATCTCAACAAAAAATCACAATAATTGGATATCAATAGCGCTTAATAGGATCGCATTTGTGTCAGTGGCTTATTTTTAAAATTAGAAAAACTGCTAAAACAAATATAATCCGATCAAGTGCCTGTCAATATCCGATCATCGTGATTTTTTTGTAGAGAATAAATAATCGACGAGTCCTACACATTAACGGTTTGGATCATTGAAATAAATCCAAAATGAAGTCAAAAACAAGCCCAACAATACGGTCATGCATCCCACGATTCATGTGAATCCAAAAATATTACCCAGTACTTGTTAATAGCGAAAATTGTTTTGTTGGGACATTCTTGAATACTCGAAAAATTCATCATCATCGAACAATGCTTGATTATTTTGAGAGGAACTTCCATACTTATCACAAACATTAATTTTGACTTTGACACTGCATATAAATGACAAATTTTGAAGCCACAACGTTTCTTTTATGCTGCATGATTCATGTAAGTCCAAAAATGGTCCACCACACTCACATGAGTAATAGAAGGAGAATATATAGCCGAGGTGGACCCACCCAAAAAATTTGAAAAATATTATATATTATATTAGAAATTTTAAAATAATTTAAAATTATAAGAGTTCGTATTCTTAAATTTTTTTTAAATAATTTCAAAATTATATAGAGTAGTCCCCAATTTTTTAAATTATTTGAATTTTTTTTTTGAATTAGTTAACATATATAATAATCTATTTTAAATTTCATGTATATGTATTTTTTAAATTAGGTCAAGACAAAAGCAAAATTTTGGAAACTTTAGTAGGTCAAAGCGTAAAATATGAAACTTGCTCTGTTACAAGAATTAAATAATAGATTTAAGGAAAATGTAATGGAATTGCTTATTTTTAGCTCAACTTTGGATCCAAAGGATGGTTATAGATCATTCAAAATTAAGGATATTTGCAAGATTGCAAATAAATGTTATCTCTTGGATTTCATCGAGCAAGAAAAATTGCATTTGAAGTTTTAGTTGGAAAACTATAAGCTTGATATTTCCACATTTTCCAAGTTTCAGAAGCTGTCAACCATTTCTGAGTTGTGTCAAATGTTGGCAAAAACTAAAAAGTCAACAAATTATCCTCTTATTGATAGATTGATTCGTCTTGTGTTGACTTTACCTGTTTCAACTACTACATCAAAACGTGCATTTTCAGCTATGAAACTCGTTAAGTCTAAATTGCACAATAGGATGGAAGATGGTTTTCTGGCTAGTTACTTGATTACGTAC